GCACTATCTTTCCTAGAACTTTTGTGAAGATTAATGAAAATAATATCTGTAATGTACGTGGCAAACTATACCTCCCCAACGCCGAGGGTTGGCCACGATCACAGATCACCTAAGTTCTTCTAGTTCCTTCAAGCATCTGCATATTTCAATGACAGGGGTCCCTTTTGGCAAAAATTACCTATCTATTCCACCTCTGGACTACTTTCAGTACCAGAGAAGTCTTTCCCAGGATATGTCAAAGGAGTTTCTCTACACCTTCTACCTGCAGGGCCAGCTCTGTCTCTGGAGCTGTGAGACACGAGTTGCATCCTCCTCCTCACTCCCACTTTGCACAGCAAGTCTAGCTCTAAACACAGGAGTGAAAATGTTATAGGAAAGGGGTCCCAATCCAGACCCCAAGAGAGAGTTCTTGGATCTCACGCAAGAAAGAATTCAGGGCGAGTCCATAAAGTGAAAGCAAATTTATTAAGAAAGTAAAGGAATGAGATAATGGCTACTCCATAGAGCTGCTGTTTGTCCATTTTTATGGTTATTTCTTGATGGCATGCTAAACAAGGCATGAATTATTCATGCCTCCCCTTTTAAGACCATATAGGGTAATTTCCTGACATTGCCATGGCATTTCTAAACTGTCATGGCACTGGCGGGAGTATAGTAGTGAGGACTGCCCGAGGTCACTCTTTTTGCCATCTTTTGGTGGGTTTTGGCCAGCTTCTTTACTGTAACCTGTTTTATCACCAAGTTCTTTATGACCTGTATCTTGTGCTGACTTCCTATCTCACCCTGTAATTTAGAATGCCTTAGCCATCTGGGAATACAGTCCAGTAGGTCTCAGCCTCATTTTACCTGGCTCCTATTTAAGATGGAGTTGCTCTGGTTCACGTCTGACAAAAAGAAATATGAGGGTTGGCGGGGTTTGAGATTATTCCAGTCCAGGCCCACCTGCTGCTCAGATACATTTTAGTCCCAACCTCAAGAAGCCCATAGGTAACAGTTTGGACAAGATCTGCTGATACCAGTGATGGTCACCAGAAGTCTCCAAAGACTGCTCCCTTTCAGGAAGGCCAATGGCACTGGTTGGAATAGGGGCAGCCAAGCCTATTGGTCCTGCCCAAATTGGCCTGGCCTAAACCCACTCTGCAGCTCCCTGCTCTCTGGGTCTAGGTCTTGGGTTCTAAGGACTTTAGATGTGAATGGGCTTTGAAGGTGACTGCACCTCTGGACTGTCTCCCATGGCTTTGCAGCCCACACCTGGGGCCCCTGTCTGATGCTTGGTCCACTTCCAGCTCTGGTCTCTGCTCAGCCTTGAGCTGAGGTGGCAACCACAAACCTCTTTGTCCCACAGCACGGCTGAGCAGACTAACCTCCCACTCTTGGGTTCTATTCTTGGCTGTCAACATAGGCGTCATGTGCCAAGTGTCTAACTGCATGGCCATGCGCCTGGTGAAGGGAATGAAGGCTCCAGAACACAGGCTACCCTGCTCACCAGTGCAGCCCATGGCCCTTCTGGGAACAAATAGGTTATACAGGCAGAATACTAAACCAGACATGAGCGGACATGGCATGCTTCTATACAGCTGGGGACACCCATGCATAACTGGGTAGGAGAGAGACGCCTGTTATGTGAGAGGCATATGAGACAGGGAAAGAACATGGCCCCAGGAGGCAGAAAACCTGGGGTCTTGTTCCCATCCCTTTGCTACCTAGTAGCTTATGACTGGAAGGTAGTGGATCAGAGCATTGTAGGATTTAACACTGGAAGGGTCTGGCGGATTCTAGGACCTGGATGCTCCTCAAGGGACATCATTAGAAACACAGGTGGTCTGCCCTGGACCTAAAGGTCAGAAGTAGTGGGTGGGGCAAAGGGATTTTTATTCGAACAGAAATGATAATGCCATGCTTTGGAAATGACTGTATGACTGTCAGGAAGGCTGACGCCAGAGAGGGAAACTCAACTGCCCAAGTCAGACACTTTGTTCAGGGCAAAGCTGAGACCAGGTTGAAGTCTCCTTATCTAGGCTGCATCCTGGCTCTAAGACCTTAGGCTCTGAGTTCCCTATGTGTCCAGGTCAGGGTAAGGGGACTTGGGAGGGCCTCGTTGGTCTGATAGGGACTGTGCTACTGCCCACATCTTCCTTTGGCCCAGAAGCTCCCTATGATGCAGTCTGGGCACTCCTGAGCCCATGTCCTCCCTGTGATTGTGAGATCTCATGGATGAAGATGATGAGCCACTTCCACCAGCCCCTTCCAGCCTTACAGGATGGTGGGAAAGCACTGAGTTCCAGTGTCTGCTTTATAATCCCCCACGAGACTAATCAAGTTGGTTCAGCTCTTTGGACTCAGGTCCCCTCTGTTCAAAGAGATAAGGCTGGACTCTCAGCTCATTTCCAGCTCACTATGCTACTAGATAGCATCTCAGGGCTGAAAGGAATCGTGGACATCATGTAGTACAGTGCTTCTTTTCTGGTGCACCTGGGCAAATTGATTCCCTCAGTCCTTAAGGGCATGTGGGCCATGCTTTGTAATAACCGTGTTTTCTCGTTTCTACATTTGCTGCTTTGACATGGGGTCCCACCGACCTTGGAGGGGCTGCTCCTTCCGGGTCCAGATAGTTTCTGACAGTTACCTTTCATATATGCAAACCAACCCATTCAGAGACCACACTCACACTGGAGGCCACTATCCATCTATCCTAATCACCCCAGGGTAGCTACCAGGTAACTGGGGATAGCACCTATGTGAGAGCCCAGAGTCTGCTGAAGTTATTCACATGAGCCAATCCTAAACCTGCTACACTGTTTCATGTTCCTTCCCACCGAAATCACAATAAACGCTCCTGCTCACATTTTTTCTCACTCCCTCTGCCTCCTGGCCTACCCTGGTACTGCCCTACAGCACCCTGCATGGTGTGCTGGGACTCCTGTTGCAAGGGATCTGTGAACGTAAACTTCTTCCTTCATGACAGTTATCTCTGTATCTGCATGTCTTACCATACCAGAATAAAACAAATCCCAAGTATCCTCAAAACAGGCCGGCCATAATTTGAACCTTTAGGCTTAAACTCAGTCCCCTTTGGGGTTTTAAATCCCCATGTCTACTTTTTGTGTGCCCTGCAAATACTTCTATTGTCTACATGCACTGCACATGAAAAAGGCTTGGAAGCTCCAATGTGCAGCACCTGCTGCCCCTCAGCCTGGCAACCTACCACCTATGCATGGGCATTTCCACTTCCAAGGAGCTCTCCTTGGTGGAAAAGCCTGCCTTATACCCACTGCAAGCCTGCCTTCTCACTGCTGTTGGTCCCTGCTTGGACTCTGCCCTCTGGGGACATGCAGGGTTGGTTCAATCCCTCCTTATTGCCATGTCTCCTCAGCTTTTTACAAGCAGCAGCTCTGGGTTCTCTTGAGACTTTTCGTCTCCCACCTAAATACCTCTTGTTCAAGAGGCACATTTTTCACTATTCTGTGTCTCTGGAAGATTCCATCCCAAGGCTCTTCTCTCAGGGCCTAGTTGCTTCAAACCAGAAGGAGAGGAGAGGACACCCTCCCCTGAAAAGATGTCTGACCTGCATATGACACTGCTGGTTTTTCACAAGAGTTTTAATGTAAAATCTCTAATTTTTTTTTTAATTAGAGACAGAGTCTTGCTTTGTCACCCAGGCTAGAATGAAGTGGTGTGATCATAGCTCATTGTAACCTCCATCTTTTGGGCTCAAGTGATTCTCCTACCTCAGCCTTCCAGCTAGAACTACAGGTATGTGCCACCATATCCGGCTCTGTTTTAAACGTTGGGAAGAACTTACACAATATAGAGGCAGGGAGGAGGGATGGATCGTCTCCCAGCCACTTACCCAAAGCCAATTATCTCCAGCTGTTTAGTTCCTTTCTAATGGGAGGACACAGAGTTTTCCCATCACTACCCAAGTCCCCTCCCCAGGCAAAGAGCTATGCAAAGACTCTGGTCATGTAGAACACTTTAGACAGTAACTTGCTGAAGAAGTCTGTGTGGGGACTAGGGAGTAAGATGTCTGATGTATGCTTTGAACACAGTTTCATGCTGCCTCCCTGCTGTGCGCCCAGAGAACACAGCATGCTGCTGCCATGGGCTCCCCACTGGGGCAGGGCCAGGCCCTGACGTTCGGGCCTGGGTGTCTTTTCTCCTAAAGCAGCAGCAGTGGTAACATGCATGAGTGAAGCCTGTCAGGCATGGCTAGTGAAGCCTAAGCCAATAAGACAGTGGGTATATGGGCTAAGGGAGCAGCTGTGACTTGGGTTCAACAGATACTTGCCTTGTGAGAAGGGATGCCTGACCTCTATGTGGCCACTTCTAGTCTTTCAAGGGAAGCTGGAAATTTAGACTTTGCATATGAACTCTCTAATCTTTAAATGCTAGTGAAGACTTACAAAACAGTATAAACTAACAAAACACATCCCTGGATTGGATCAAGTTCCAGGACCGCTAGTTTGCATCCTCTTTCCCAACCTCAGCTAGGGTTACCCTCCCCTCCAGGACAGGGTGGTTGCCAGCACAGCCCAGGTGTCCTCTAAGGCTGTCTCAGCCATAACGTCCTCTGACCATTGCTCCCTGTGGTGGTTAATTTTCTGTGTCAACTTGACTGGGCTACAGAGTACCCAGATATTTGCTTGAGCATTATTCTGGGAAAGTCTGTGAGGGTGCTTTTGCATGAGATTAGCTTTTGAGTTGGTAGACTGAGTAAAGTGGATAGACTTCCCTAATAAGAATGGGCCTCCTCATCCAGTCAGTTGAAGACCTAAATAGAACAAAAGGCTGACACCTCCCCCATCCCCTGCTGAATAAAAGAGAATTCCTCCTGCCTGAGGGCCCTCCAAATGGGACACCAGCTTTCCTGCCTTCAGAATCAAACTGGAACACTGACTCTCCCCCGGGTCTTGAGCCTGCCAACTGCAGATCTTGGGACGAATCAATCTCTATACTCCTGTGTGTCTATTCTTTATAATAAATCTCTTCATAAACACCTCTACATCTTACTTGTTCTATTTCTCTTGGTACCTTAGACTAATACACTCCCTTTGATTAAAAGACAGTAAACACCTTTGAGAAAGAAGCTAAACATTTTATCAAATGAAAGCTCCTCTTCTGGCTCACTGATCATTTATACCATATTTCTAGTGTTGAATATAATAACAATAGCAACTACTATTTATCAAACACTTTGTATGAATCAGGCATAGGGTTGAGCAGTGCATATATGCTTTCTTACGCAATCCACAAAACACCCCATTCCCCTTGCGGAACATATGAGGGTCCCTAGGTCAAGTGTCATATCCATCCCTCTCAAGCCATGTGTCTCTGCCTGGACCAGTGCCTGGCACAGATCAGGTGCTCAGTAGATTATTCCTGAAATCAAGAAATGAACTCTTCTTTAAAATAGATTATGTTGGCCAGGCACAGTGGCTCACACCTGTAATCTGAGCACTTTGAAAGGCCAAAATGGGCAGATCGCCTGAGGTCAGGAGTTCAAGAACAGCCTGGCCAACATGGTAAAACCATATCTCTACCAAAAATAGAAAAATTAGCCAGGCATGGTGGTGTGTGCCTGTAATCTCAGCTACTCCAGAGGCTGAGGCAGGCAGGAGAATTACTTGAATTCAGGAGGTGGGGGTTGCAGTGAGCCAAGCTTGTGCCACTACACCCCACCCTGGATGACAGAGTAAGATTCTGTTTCAAAATAAAATATAAAAATATATTCTGTTTATATCCCCATATTACAGATAAGAAAATGGAATCTCAAGGACAATAAATACCCAGCCCAAGGTAACAGGGCTAAGAAATGGTAGAGCTGAGACATACCCTCAAGTCCCTTGAGTTCAAAACCCACATTCTACAACCAGTGTGCATGGAAGAGCCGGGCCCACCTCCAGCGCCTGACTTTAGCATTCAAAACTACCACTCTCTGAGCCGGCAGCAACGTCTTCCACATAGCTGCCTCAACTCTCAGCAAGCCTGAGCTACCCACAGGCTGACAGCTTTACTCCTGGACAGTCCACCAGGGTTTAGAAAGACTAACTTGGGGCCAGGCGTAGTGGCTTACACCTGTAATCCCAGCACTTTGGGAGGCTGAGGCAGGTGGATCACTTGAGGCCAGGAGTTCGAGACCAACGTGTCCAACATAGTTAAAACCTGGTCTCTACTAAAAATACAAAAATTAGCTGGGCATGGTGGCAAGCACCTGTAGCTCCAGCTGCTTGGGAGGCTGAGGTGGAAGGATCGTCTGAATCCGGGAGGTGGAGGCTTCAGTAAGCCAAGACTGTACCGCTGCACTCCAGCCTAGGCAACTCTGTCTCAAAAAAAAAAAATTAATTAATTAAAAAGATTAACTTGAGTCTCACCACAGCTTCATCTTTAAAAATGAGAGAAAACCAAGAGAAGAAACCCACTGAAGTCAGATCACCCTCTTTTCAAAGAGTTGCTTTGAGGTAACAGGGGAGTCTGATGCACAGGCTGAGAATTGAGACCACAGAGTAAGATGAGGCTGACCACACTTGGCCCTGGTAGGATGTTGTAGGGCAACAAATCCAATTTCCAGGAACTCCCTGTCCTTGCATTCTGTGTTGCTCTTGAGCCTCATGTGGGTGAAGCTACACAGCAGATCGGCAGATAGAGGATGAATGGCGAGTGGAGTTAGGCATATCTCACAAAAGGGAAATCCTACCAACCACAGGTAAGAGATGAGAGAGGGAAAGGATGAAGGCCATCACAGAAAGGCTCTGGATAGACCACAGAGGAGGGGAGTGGCATGCATGGGCCTTGACACACTGTCAGACCTACTGGTTTACAAAAGAGTAAACTCATAACTTGGTCTCAAATGTGGCCACATACACCAGTCTTTTCGTCTGCTCCTTAATGATTAAACCTTCCCACCCTCCGGTATCTGGAAAGCATCCCTGATTGCTTTGTTCTTCCTGGAAGCCATCTCAGTCCATAAATATACTGAGCAGTACACATCTGCTTTGTCCAAGACAAACAATGGTCTGATTTCTCTGTTTCTTACAGCATCGAGCTCCCTTTCAGCGATTTCAGTACAACACAGCTGTTCTGATAATGACATAGCCAGGTACAAGGAAAACTGCACAGTCAGAGTGTTATGGCTCTGAACTCCCAGGAATGCTGAGACCCTGAACCCAACACATCCTCAGTGGGGACTCAGGCTGGAGTGCAATGGCACCATCTCAGCTCACTTGCAGCCTCTGCCTCCCGGGCTCAAGCTATTCTCCTGCCTTGGACTCCCTAGTAGCTAGGATTACAGTCACATGCCACCATGCTTGGCTAGTTTTTCTATATTTTTAGTAGAGCCTGGCATTTGCCATGTTGGCCAGGCTGGTCTTGAACTCCTGCCCTCAGGTGATCTATCTGCCTTGGCCTCTCAAAGTGGTGGGATTACAGTCATGAGCTACCACTTAACGTTTTTTTTTTTTTTTTTTGAGACGGAGTCTCGCTCTGTCACCCAGGCTGGAGTGCACTGGTGTGATCTCGGCTCACTGCAGCCTCTGCCTCCTGGGTTCAAGCAATTCTCCTGCCTCAGCCTCCCCAGTAGCTGAGATTACAGGTGCCCACCATCATACCAGATTTAATTTTTATATTTTTAGTGGAGACGGAGTTTCACCATGTTGGTCAGGCTGGTCTTGAACTCCTGACCTCAGGTGATCCGCCCGCCTCAGCCTCCCAAAGTGCTGGAATTACAGACATGAGTCACCACACTCAGCCTTAAGTTCTTAATGCATGAACTCCTGTGTCACTTGGCATTGAGTTCTTTGCAGATAGAAGCCCCTGGGGCCCCCAAGCGCAGCACAGGACCTGGTCATCGCAGGTTCCCCTAAATGCCAGTGAAGGGATCCTGTGATTACTAGAGGGTAGAAGGTGAGCTATAAGGCAGGGGTGTGGAGTAAGAGGTCTTAGGGCAAGGCCTTTAAGAAGAGGGAAGTGGAGGCTGGAAAACAAGAGGAAGAGGTAGGGCATGAGGAAGAGATGTTACTCCATTCTGCTTTCAACCCAGTATCACAGCTCTGTTTATTCTGAGAAGCAACCAGCTGCAGCTCCAAAATAGAGATGCTGAGAAACGCCTCTGATGACAAGAGACTGCTGCTGAGGCAACAAGGTTAGAACAGCCCTTTATAAGGGCTGGAGTGAGAGAGGCCCGGAGAGGGGAGATGCTCCTGGATCTCTTTCCACTTCCACCTGTCCCCGCTGCCTCCTTCCCAGCCCAATGCAGCCCTAGTTCTTCTTTCCAGGGTCTCCAGGGCCCAGGGCTGGCACATGACAGAGAAGAGTGTGGCCCTGCCACTGCTCCAGGCCCCAGCAAGGGTGGTCAGTGTTCCTTGACAGAAACCCCATGGCCAAGTAGGACAGATGGCTTCCTTCTCCCTGGACCTGAGTATCCTTTTCAAGCAACGTCGCTGGGAGCAGGAAAAAGAATGAGACAAGTGGATGGAACCACAGGGTTTGCTAAGTGTCTGTGTTAAGAGCTTGTGTGTGCTTGCACATGTAAGCATGAGAAAAATCACACCAAGTGGAGTTTATCAGGCAGGAAGCCTTGTTTCCAGGTTATCACAATAGGGCAAGACTATTCCAATAGGGGAGGGAGACTGAACTCCATTCCGACCACAAGGGGAGCAGCTGGGGATTCACAGCCAGTGGGCAGGGTGAGCGAGTCAGTGAAAGGATGACTACCAAGGGGAACTTGGCTAGGTAGCAATGGTGGTGGGGTAGGGCGTGAGAGGGTGGTTACTGCTGGACTTTCTGGAGCTTAGCAGGCCAAGGAGCAGGGCTGGTGGGGGCAAAAACAGGACTCAGAGGCGGCTGCCTCAAGTTTGGTCAAGGGGGGTCCTTGTCAGCGGAAGGGAAGCAGAGAGAGCAGGATATTTGGTGACACAGCTGTTCCCCTCCCTCACCCATGTAAGCATCAGCTCTGTCACTCACTCCACGGCAGAGAGAAAGGATGGTCCTAGGCCACCTGGCATCTGCTAACAAGGGCAGTGTGGGTTTGGACCCATACAGGCCCATCCCTTCCCCGAAGTCCACCAGCCTGGGCCTGACTCCACAGCACCCTATTCCCTGGGGCCTGCTTTGTCCCCTGGCTCTTCTGGAATCAGAGCGTCCCTGACACAGTTTAGATGCTTGTCCGTTCTGATTTTATGTTGAAATGTGATTCCCGGGGTTGGAGGTAGGGTCTGGTAGGAAGTGTTTGAGTCATGCAGGCGGATCCTTTATGAATGGTACGGTGCCTTCCCCATAAGTTTAATGAGTTCATGTGAGGTCTGGTTGTTTAAAAAGGTGGATGGCACCTCCCCTGCTTCTGTCTTGCCATGGGAGACATCAGCTCCTCTTCCCTTCTGCCATGATTGGAAGCTTCCTGAGGCCTCACCAGAAGCCAGGTTGATGCTGGTACCATCCTTGTACAGCCTGCAGAACCATGAGCCAATTAAGCCTCTTTTTTTTTTTTTTTTTTTTTTTTTCCAAGCCTCTTTTCTTTATGAATCACCCGGCCTTGGGTATTCTGCTACAACAATGCAAACAAACTGATACAAACCCTGACAGGTCTTTCCCCATCAAGGTCCACTGCTTTTGTCAGGGACTGACCTGGGGTGACTGAGGGGAGAGGTCATCGTCCTGGGGGCCTGTCACTTTGCTCCCTGTTGAAATGGACACTTGGCTAAACATGGACAGGTGGGCAAGCCCAGACACCCCGCACCTGGGCTGTTCAGTCCCTCACCATCCCCAGCAGGACCAAATGGACCCAGTCCAGGTGAACTTTCGGGACTTTTTGTTCAACAGCCTGGAATACCCTCCAGCTGTCACTGTGCCCACTGGAGGGTCTCTCAGGCAGGGCTGGGCTGCCCCCAAAGCCAGGATGGCCACTTGGCTGAGGCCTCACAGGACGAAGAGCCCTTGACATTATTTCCAAATGAGTCCATTCATTTAGTCAGTGTGTGTGTGGTGTGTGTATGTGTGCATGCTTGTGTGTTTAAAACTATTAATTGGTAAAAGTAAACATTTAAACGACATCATAATGTTTGCGGCCCTATTTGGCTATTTCTCTCTCTTCTTCTTTCTTAACCCAGAGAGGCTCCAAAAATGGAAGAGGCCCAGGCTTCTCTAGAACTCTAGAGACCCTGGTCTCAGGCACCTTCTGCCTCCTCACATTCAGCATTCCAATGCCAGCCGAGCCACCACACTCCGCCGCCTCCTCCGTGGCATCCTCTTCTCAGTCTGATTCTGTGTCTGAGGCTGAAGCTCCTCCCTCCCCCTGCACCCTCTCCTGCCCCAGCCCAGCACTGCCCTCTCCTCTCCACACACAGCCACAAACACCCCTTGACATGCTTGAGTGGGAGCCTTAGAGCTGGTCCTCTCCCAGCCTCTATTGTGTGTGCTCAGAAGTTTCCAACGAGACTTCCTGACTCCCTCTGGGGAAATGGGATGGGTGACAAGAAACCTGCCTATTGTAAAGACTGGCCTGCACAGGAACGCTGCTCAGGAAATACCTGCCTGGGAGCGAGAGGACAGGTGGCGAGAGGAAGAGGCTAGAAGTTGCTGCCATGCCCAGATGCCTGCTCAGCTTCTGCCTGGAACTGACTCCACAGGATTTTTGGCAGATCACGATCTGGCTGGTGGAGAGACTTCCTAAGATTAATTAGGCAAAGGCCAACACAGCATTACAAGAACCCTGGACACCCAAATCTAGAAGCTGGATGTTGCCCGGATGATTGCTTTGTTTACATAGGAGACAAACAAGATTAGCACAAAACATCAGAAGACGGGAACTAGGGGAATTAGTCTAATGCCCTAAAAGCAGTAGACAGCCTCTCCACGGAGGATGGAGAGATGGAGGAGGTGGGAGGTACTGGGGTGGATCTGTCCTCGGGGACAGTGAACTAATTCTAGGACCAGCAATGAAGTGAGATTTTCTAGTGACTTGTGCCACCCCAAGACCCAAGAGCCACGACGTGCTTCTCTGAGTTTCAGAACTTCTAGTTGATCATGGGAAGTAGCGCAGGTGGGTCCTTGTCCTATCTGACAAAGAATCTTCTTTGAAGCATGGTGTCAAGAAGAGGCAAGGCAGGCGTGCCAGGGTTGGCTGCCAGAGGCCTCGTATTTCTGGGGCAGTGTCAACAGAAAAATAAAACATCAAGTATGATTAGTGCTTGTCTCAAATGCTTCTGTCAGGACTAAGTCTGAAGTCCATTGCTTTATTTCATAACTAAGGAGCAGTTTTACAGCCTTTGACAAGAAGGTAAATTACCAGCAACGGCTGGCTGGAAGAGTCCTTACATCTGGGTCACCTCAGGCCCTCCTAGCTTTAAGTGCGCACTTTGCCTTCTAGGAGGGAGCACAGGCTACTACTAATAACCTTAAAAGGTGGCTCACACCTGTAATCCCAGCACTTTGGGTAGTCGAGGCAGGTGGATCACCTGAGGTCGGGAGTTTGAGACCAGCCTGACCAACATGGAAAAACCCTGCCTCTACTAAAAACCCCCCACCCCCCAAAATAGCAGGACTACTAAAAAAAAAAAATAGCCAGACGTGGTGTCATATGTCTATAATCTCAGTTACTCAGGAGGCTGAGGCAGGAGAATCACTTGCAACTGGGAGGAAGAGGTTGCAGGGAGCTGAGATTGTGCCATTGCACTCCAGCCTGGGCAACAAGAGTGAAACTCTGTCTCAAAATAAATATATAAATAAATAAAAATAAAATAATATCTTTGGGGTATTTTTAATGAGTTGGTACAAATGTTAACTCATTTAATCCTCAAAGAAGTTGGTATATCATTCTCCTACCATGTTACATATGGGGAAACTGAGGCATGGGAGATTAAAGGAACTCTCTCAGTGCCACAGAGGTAGGAAATGGCAGATCTGTTTCCTGTCTCTTTAACCAGTACACCACACTGTCTCTCAAGGAAACATAAAGGTCTTTACCATATTGCAGAGGAAAGAAACCAAGCCTTGGGCAAGGTCCGTATCTTGCTGAATTCTTTCTTTTTCCATAGAAAGAGACCGAGGTTAAGGTGTCATGGGTCTCCTGCCTTCCCTCTGGCTAGGAATGAACTTCAGGTCTGTGACTACAATCAATTTAACAAACACTTTGCGTGCCCACCCAGTGGGCAGAGACAGTAAGTACAAAAGGAGTAAGTAGTGATCCAGGGACTTACAGCCAAGTTGGGAAGACAGATATCGCCATCAACTAACACCACACGACACAGTGTGGTCATGGCAAAAGAAGTGGACATGAAATGATGTCTGGGGCGCAGCACGAGTGAAGGAAGTTAATTTTACTTCATGGGAAAGGCAGGATCTGAGTTGGACTTTCCAGGCTGGATAGGTTTGTAAACAAGAAGAGGTGGGTTGAAGGCTGTCAGCAAAACTTAATATGCATATGGTCAAATGGCAGGAAAGCCTGAGGCTTGCTGACGATCTCATCAGATGTGTCAAGGTTTACAGAGGTGACTGCCTATATGCACAGGACAGATTTGTAGGAGGGGACCCTGGGGCAGCAATTGAGCGGCCAGTGTATTGATTTGGGGAAGAGTATGTAGTGTCTTACTCAAGATGGGGCAATTATGAGGAAAAAGGAGTAGATGAAGGAAGACATCCCAAGGTGGAATCCACAAGAATTGATAGCCAGTTAGAAGAAGAGACGGTGTTTCCTACAATCTCCAGTCAACGGGACTTTGGTGACGCCACTCATCAAGTCAGGATGAGAAGGTGGGGCTGGAAGGTTCTGGGATCATCCATATGCATGTAGAGAAAGTGGGAAAGTCAATAATGCTTAACTGTAGCTCAAGAATGCATGGCAAAATTCTGTTCAGTCCCTGCAGTGCTGAGTGGCACGTCTCCCTGCCCCACATCTGCATATCTCTGCCTGTCTAAGGCTCCTCAAGTTTCACCTCCATCAAGAAAATCCTCCGCTTTTCTTCATGTTCTCCAGCAAGACAAACTGTGTTCCCTTTTCAGCACATCTTGCTTATTGTACAAGTGTTATGTTTATCCTTTGGGGCTACAGGTTTCTGGAAAGCTGGAAATATTGTGTTATGCACTTTTTATCCCAGTTGTATGTAGCATAGGAACTGGAATTCATGGAGGAGGCCATCATTCACCCAGGAGTGTGGAACCCAGCTGCCCTGGCTGAAGCCCCTCAGGTGCATTCTCTGAGCTGCCTGGGGTGCATCCCATGGAAGACACCCTACAGCCTCTGGTTGTAGTCAGTGGCACAGAGGGCAGAGCCAAGCACAAGCCACAGCTCTATCCCTTGCTAGTCAGGCACAGACTCATTTCCAACTATCCTGAGCCCTGGCTTCTTTCTCTGTAAAATGGCGACAATGATGCAGCTGTTTTAGCGCGGTTGGGAGGACGCCCTGCCAGGTGTTCATATGTAGAATTTGTGGATAGCCCCATGCCCTGGGACTCAGCTGGTACACAGGCTGTTAACCGGGGCAGCAGCTTGTGCGCGTGCGTCAAGACAGGAGGCTGGGCCCTGGTCTAATCTTAGCCCTGCAGAGCCCTGGGTATTTCCTCACTTCCTCATCTACAGCACTTGGGGGAGTAATCGTGGCCCACAGGACTGGGGGTGGGGGAAGCGGCCGGTAAGAACTCAGATGAACACGTTCCAGGAACGTCAAGTGACTGTCACAGCTTAGTACATGGCAGGCATTTCTGGGGCTTCTGCCAATCAATAGTCACCATACAGCCTACCCAGACAGGACACGGGTAAGCCCCTGAGCCTCTGCCTGGCTCAGGTGAGGAGGTTCATGATGAGAAAAAGGAGGACTTGCAGAAAGGGCAGGGTTAGACCCAAATCAGAATCACAGAGGCTTAGAGCAGCAAGAGCAGTCAGAGAGCCCATGTGGGCACTCCCTCTTGGTCACCTCCTGCTTGAATTCTCCTAGTGATCAGGAACTCACTATCTCAACATTTCTGTCACCTGTCCCACTGCTCAGAGCTTTAATTATTAGAAAGCCTTCCTTTATATTCATCCCAAATCTACTTTTCTGTAACTTCCTGGGCCTGCTCGTGGATATGCACAGAACAAAACCCCTCTCACTTCCACCTCCTGACTATTCACTAGTGGAAAATAGCTCCTCTGCTCTTCCCGGCCTTCTCTAGTCTAACCTGCCTCAGTTCCTCCAAACACTTCTCACAAGACCTCATCTCTAGCTCCCTGCTCTCCCTTGAAGCTTCCCAAAACCTGGTTCAAGAGGGGCCCTAAGAACTGAGCAGAACACCACAGAGTGCCCTGACCTGACAGGGGGCTGGCCCTTGTCCTAGTCTCTACTCCAATGAGAGTGTCCCTCTTTGTTCTAAAGACTTGGGAAGATGCTCCATAGAGGTGACACTGTCACACCCACTGAACTTCATTTCCACCCAGCGGTTCTAGATTTCCCGTGGGAGTCATTCTAGATTTCCCATGGGAGCCATTCTAGATTTCCCATGGGAGCCATTCCAGATTTCCTGTGGGAGCAATTCCAGATTTCATGTGGGAGCTGTTCTAGATTTCCCATGGGACTGGTCCTAGACTTCCTGTGGGAGCAGTTGTGGATTTCCAATGGGAATGGTTCTAGATTTCCTGTGGGAGCAATTCTGGATTTCATGTGGGAGTGGTTCTAGATTTTGCATGGTAACAGCTCTTTGCCTGCACCTGTCTCTCAGAGACAGGCTCCTAAGACTGGGTCCCTCCTGTCTCTACTGCTACAAAGCGTGTTTAGCAGGGCCAGAGGGTCCCAGTAAAGCCTTGGTAGGGGAAAAAAGACACTGCTGGAGCCAAGGTGAATGTGGGGGTGGAGTGTTGCTTTGCCAAAGGCCCACAGGTGTTGGGAAGGAGGACAGGTACTGTCAGAGGAACAGAGAACCCTGCTTCCCCCGTCATCTCTCAGCAAAAACACAACACCTCCCTCAGGTCAGAAAGTCATCCCGTGAGTAAGCCCCTGGGTCAATGATTGTAGAAACCCCTAGCCCTTCTCCAACAGCCTAGAAGAACCACAGTGTGGGGGTGCCAACACTTAAAGTCTGGGTCTCACCAGCAGAAGGAAATGACACATACCTGCCAGTCGGACAGGGCCTGCCTGTGAGTCACGCCCAGGAAGCGGAGAGGGGAGGACAGGTCAGCCCAGGGGAGAGAGAAGGGGAGGCCCCGGAAAGGGTAGGCTCCTGGCACTGCCCTGAGGCTCTAACTTTTCAATCCAAGCCCTGCCTCCAGGATGAGGAACTGGGTCAGCAAAATGACAGAAGGCTCAGGGCCAGACCTGGATTAGAACAGGCCTGCACAGACAGGTCAGCAATTCGTGTCCATAAAAGGAAGTTCCAAGGGAGACGCGGCCTGCCCTTCTCACCCGCAGACCCAGCCAGGTTGGTTAGTAAACATTAGACAGGGCACTCTCGTTTGGCGTGTCACCTTTGAACACGCAGAGTGCGCTCGCTTGGCACATGGGGCAGGGCTGACTGCAATGATGAATATGAGGATGAGAAAAATTCCTGAGGGAGGCTGCCTGCATCAGTGGGGTTATCAGTGAAGAGTAGTGTGTGGGTATGGAGGGCAGCAGGGGGGGCTGATAGACTCCACAGCCCGGTTCATCCACATGCTGAGGTCCCCAGGACCGTACTTCATTAAGAACACTAGAAAAGCAGGCAGTGGCCCTCAGCCACACCTACCATCCCTGGGGAGAACACGTTGAATACCAGAGATAGAAGGGTCCTCTAGCTCCCTTAGTATGACCTAATTTTACAGAGAAGGTGCCTGGAGCCCAGGAGCCCCCAACCTAAGGTCCCTCCCTAAAGTCAGAGGGGGAACTGGAGCCATTTGCTCTCCTCTTTAAAGAGCCAAAACCGGGCCAGACACGGCAGCTCATGCCTGTAATCCAGCACTTTGGGAGGCTAAAGTGGGAGCATCGCTTGAGGCCAGGAGTTCAAGACCAGCTGGGGCAAAAAAGTGAGACTCCATCTGTACAAAAAGTAAAATAAAAAATATGCCAGGTATGGTGGTGTATACCTGTGGTCCCACCTACTCAGGAGGCTAAGATGGGAGGATTACCTGAGCCCAAGAGTTTGAGGCTGCAGTGAGCTATGATTGCACCACTGTACTCCAGCCTGGGCAACAGAAGTCCTGGGCAATGGGTTATCTGTGTGGAAGGAGACAGTGCATTTGGGTTTTCTCGCATGGAGGTGGAAACCATCTGCAGGTACAACTTGCCAATCATACTCTTGGTAGTGAATAACAATGGAATTTACCAAGGTTTTGATATGAATACTTGGAAAGAAACATCAAAATTTCGAGATCCTACTGCAGTGGTCCCTCCAATGTGTTTACTGCCAAATTCACATTATGAGCAAGTCATGACTGCATTTGGAGGCAAGGGGTATTTTGTAGAAACACCAGAAGAACTCCAAAAATCCCTGAGACAGAGCCTAGCGGACACAACTAGACCCTCTCTTATCAACATCATGATTGAGCCACAAGCTACACGGAAGGCCCAGGATTTTCATTGGCTGACCTGCTCTAATATGTAAATAAAAATGCCAGTTGGTCTTGAAAAAAAAATATATGGAGCAAGACCCCATATTAAATAAACAAAAAGAAATAAAAAGCTAACTCCAACTGGGCATGGTGTCTCATGCTGGTAATCCCAGCACTTTGGGAGGCCAAGGTGGGCAGATCACAGGTGAAGAGATCAAGACCAACCTGGCCAACATGGTAGAACCCCATCTCTATTTAAAAAAAATACAAAAATTAGCTGGGCGTGGTGGCATGTGCCTGTAGTCCCAGCTTTTCAGGAAGGTGAGGCAGGAGAATTGCTTGAACCTGGGAGACAGAGGTTGCAATGAGCTGAGATCTTGCCACTGCACTCCAGTCTGGTGACAGAGTGCGACTCCGTCTCAAAAAAAAAAAAAAAAAAAAAAAAAAGCTAAACCAGAGCTTAACAACGTGTAGGTATGGACACAGAGTACAGAATAGACATTGGTGACTCGGGGGGTGGGAAGGGGGTGAGGGATAAGAAATTACTTAATCGGT